AAGTAGGTACTGCTGCCACAGATGCAGTGCCTGCTTAATGCCGTACATCGAACCGCAGTGCCGTCTTCTTCAAACGCGCGTGGCTATTCGACGAAGATGATGGCGTCGACGACCGCATACATGGATGCGTTGGAGACGTCGATCTGTCGCAGCGGGCGCTGCTTGACGGCGACAATGCATATTAGTATGCGGACAGAGGTATGTCGTCCGACGGGCGCAAAGGTCTCGTCGTAGTCGATGTATTGCATCTGTTCAAAGCCGCGTACGAACCAGCGCGCCTTGTATTTTATGGATTGACCCATCCGCCAGTGTCTTGATGCGGAATAGCCACTTTCCGCTGAGATTTTTTCTCCCCATTGCTGTCGATCGTGGTACCATCTTCCAAGTTCCTCGTCGTTTCAGTGCTGCTACTCCGGCGGCCATGGCTGCTCTCCACTTCTCATTATCGGTCCCTTGCAGGGCTTGGTGCACCGTGGTAGGCTCCTTGGGAGAGGATTGGTGAACTGCGATGGCGAGCCCAGTGATGCGAAGGCCAGTTTCGTTGATGGTGGCGCAGGCGAGGCAATCCAGATCGTGCGTGCTGGTTACTTCGACAACATCATCGTCGCTGTCGGCGTTGTTGCGGCGGATGGTGTCTTGCGAGGGATTGTTGGATGGTAACCCGACATCTGGGGATTGGCGCGCTGTGCTGCTGTAGTTGTGGGCTTCGTGAGTTACGTCGTCGGGATGAAATTGAGAAACAGGTATGAAGGTTGGAGTCTGGAATGGGCTTGTAAGGGAGATGTTCGGATAATGTTCGTTGAGTTGGACGACGGCTGCATCCTCTGCCACATCGATTTCGTCGTGTGTCGTGGCGAAGCTGTGAAGATGCTTTCCAGTGCCTCGTCAGCTTCGCGGTATTGTTTGTACAGTGGCATCGTCAGCTTCTCGTAGAAGATGTAGTCACGTGATTTTGTCACTTCGTGTGTCGCATAGTCTAGAACGATCCAGGCCTTGAAATCCTCTGATTTCCGGAAGTGAATGCCCCAGCGTGCTCGGTCAATGAATTTTCCGGTTCGAGCAGTGTGAGGTCTGTACTGTATCATGCAGCCGAACATTCGAAGCAGGCGCGTGTCAGCTGTCTTGACCGTCCAAGCTTTGTATGGTGATGTGTTGTTTTCGAGGCTTCGAGATGACAGCATGTTGTGCAGTCTGACAGTGTGGTTCATGGCAAATGGCCAGAACCTGGTGGGAATTGCTGAATGCTTCATGAGGGCTCTCATCCTTGTGGCGAGGCTCCTATTTGTCCTTTCCGCCACGCCTAAACCCTAAACCCTGACTGCCGCTCAGCACGCTTTATCCAGAGCACGAAGCAGTCAAGGCGCGCGAACGGCAGTCGACGTTGACAGCCGAGACGTAACGCGTGCTTGCGTTGATTAAGGTCATGGTATTGTATTCACCGTCGAGCCCACCCTTGCTTAGAATCATGAAGTCGAGTGGTTTGTATCGTTCGTGGCCTGGAGGTAGGTCTGGAAAGGGCTGGTGAGTCAGCGAAGCGACAGGACAGATGGTGAAAGGTGGGTCATCCGAGTTGACGTGAAGTACGCTGCCGTTAGGTAAAAGAAGTGTGTTTGTATCAAAGATGTTGGCATTGACAGAGTTCTTGAATGTTGCATGGGAGGGATGACCGAGCCGTTGGTGCCAGATGTTAGGAGTAGCGCGATAACCGATTGTTCGACGAAAGTAATGATCTCTATATTCTTGTTATTGTTGTGATGTTGTAGGTGTTTCGTCGGCACCGGCGTGTACAACAGTTGCGAAGGCTCGAGTGGAGGCGATGCGAAGGTCATCTTCGGTGACGCCAGCGATGTCGTCTGTATCGGTTATGTGAATAGAATTGTCGGTGACCGGCAGCAGTTTCTGAGGCGCGTCAAGCTACTCAGATGGAGGAAGGCCTTCCATCGGAATACGATGGTACTGGTAGTCGTCTCCAGTTATCGACAAGAGTTGAGGGCCTTCTTCTGGCGGAGGCGATATCTCGGTAGGTGCCTGTAATTCAGCAGCTTCAGTCTATTTGAAATCAATTGTCATGCCTTCTGACTCTTCTTCTGGTTCTGGTTCTGGTTCGTAGAGAGTCTGTGGTCCATCTTAAGGTTGAGACTATGGCAGCCACGGCTAGCGAGAGAGACGATTTTGAGAGAAGTTGTTGCATTAGGAAAGTATCGAGGTACATTTGAAGAAAGAGTTGTAAACTCTTGAACCTAAGGAGTGTTAAATTTTGGCTGAAAATTACGAAATGAACCTAAAACGAACCTGAAAGCGTAACGTGCTCTAAGAATAGCGAAATAATAAAAGAATACCAAAATAAAGAACACCTAGCGAACCGGAACACCTCCAGAAGTGGCGAGACGAGTGAGCCCAAGCGCGCGCACGTAGAAACGGTGCGACGCACGAAGGAGGGCCTTGGTGAAAATATCAGCAAGGTTGGTAGCACTGGCCACCTTCCAAAGGCAGAGAAATCCAGACTGCACATCTTGCGCACGAAGAAGTAGCGCACCTCGATGTTCTTGCTGAGAGCATGATAGACAGAGTTCTGAGTGAGATGAATCATGCTCGCACTGTCACATGCAAGCGTCACAGAGGGCTGAGCGTGGCTCAACTTAGCAAGGAGAAAGGAGAGCCAACGAGCCTCCTGAGCTGCCATCGTGCCAGCATACAGCTCAGCCTCACATGAGGAAAGGCAAACAGAGGAGGAATGCGTTGAGCGCCTGCTGATGAGGCCACTGCCAAGAGTAAAGCCGTATCCCTGAGAAGGGCGGCGATCAGGGCGAGAGTCAGTGTAGGAAGAGTCATTGTAGTCTGAGAGAACGGGAGGTGGGAATAGCAGCAATGTCAACAGAGAGAAGAGTGGGAGAATCGCTAAAGTCGCTGATGGTGACACAGAGGAGAGGAGAAACATGATGAATAGAGAAGAGCTCCTCAAAGCGATCTTCGAGAAGATCAAGATCCTGGGATGGAGAGAGGCGGGTGAAAATTGGAGAGTGCTTGAGTCATGGAACGACTAAGGCACGGGGAGGGGGGGGGGGGGGCAGGAACAGAGGGAAGGTGTTGAGAGGGAGTTGGAGGTGAGGAGGGTAGGGGAGCCAAAGCGGAAGAGGCGGGAGGGGAGGCGCCATAGATGACGTCTGAAGGGAGAGCAGTAGAGGCTGGCGCAGGGGGAGGGGCAGGGAGGGGCGGGATAGGAGGGGGGGAAAGGGGAGAGGGGGCGACAGACAGCGGCTAATCGAAATCAGACCAATGAAGAGAGGGCTCTGGAGGGGCAGGAGGGGGAGTGATTAATGGAGAGCGAGTTTCGTCAAAGATGACACCCTGGCTGCGAGTGAGCTGCTGAGAGGAAGGGGCATAGAAAAGGTAGCCAGGACAGTCAAAGTTGATGCCAAGGAACGCACAGAGTTGCGTCTTGGGAGCGAGCTTGCCACCCTGTCGTGATCGGTCTGCCGGATTGACAAGGACATGAGCAACACACCCTTACACCCGAAGAGGGCGAATAGAGGGATGGCGGCCAGTCCAGAGCTGGAAGAGGGTGATAGTGGGACGAAGAGGATGAGGGCGGAGGTTAGAGAGCAGAGTGGCATGGAGAATAGCATAGCTCCAAAGAGAGTAGGGAGCATAAGCATGGGTGAGAAGACAATGAGTGATCTCCATCAGAGTGCGATTGCGATGCTCGGCAAAACCATTCTGTTCAAGAGAGTGAGGAAGGGTAGATTTTTGGCGAATGCCATGAGAGGCACAGTAAGAAGGGAGAGAGAGTGATTAAAGAATTTGCCACCACCATCAGAGTGGAAGCGCGCGACAGGACGCCCAAAACGAGGGCGAGCCTGCTCAGCCCAGAGAATGATGAGGGAAGGAGCGTCAAACTTGGCACGGAGGGTATAGACAGTGGCAGACCGTGAGTGGTCATCAACCAAAAGTAGAAAATATCGATGAACCTGACGAGAAGCAGTTGGGGAAGGACCCCAAAGATCCATATGGACGAGATCAAGGGGTTTGGGAGAGGCAGAAGGGGAAGAGGGATGAGGTTACTAGGAGAGCTTGGCCTGAACACATGGAGTGCATGGAGGAGCAGGAGAGGGAGGAAGGGGGGGGAGAGAGGAGGGGAGACCATGAAGAAGCTTCGAAGAGACCATGCTGCGAAGGAGGGGAAAATTGGGGTGGCCAAGTCGATGATGAAGAAGAAGGGTAGGTTGAGTAAGAGAGCGACATTCGCAGGAGGGAACAGGAGGAGCGGAAGTGGAGGAAGTATGATGGGCAGAAGAGGGGAGACAGACACAAAGAGTGTAGAGGCGAGAGATAGGAGAAAGTGTGAAACGCGCAAGATGGCGGTCGTGGTGATAAAGATCACAGTAGGAGTGACCTGCAGGAAAGGTAGCTCGCACACCAAGGCATTGAAGGGCGGAGAGAGAAAGGAGGTTATGGCGGCAAAAAGGAACATAGAGGCCAGTCACAGCACCAGAGGGGGAGGCAGGACAGGGAAGAGAAGAGGCAGCAGTATAAATCATGGTCATGGTATCCCCAGCCCCTTGGATGGAGAGGGGACGGGGGAAAGAACGAAGAACATCAGAATCACGAAAGGCAGAGTCAGTCGCACCGCTGTCAAGGACAAAGTCAAAAGTGCGAGGAGAAGAAAGAGCAGCAGCACTGGGACCAAGATACTGAAAATCATTGCCATTAATGGAAGGAGCAGACATCATGGCAAAACGAGGGTCCATAAGGGGAGAAGCTCCCAGAATGCTATCCTGACTAGGCATAGTCACACTGAGAGCAGAGCTTTGAGCACTAGCACCAGAGTCGGTGGCTGCAAGGACCGCCTGGGCAGAGGACTGGCGACGCTGACGAGAGAGTTGAAGCCAGATGGGAGGGCGACCAGTATTGCCAGCCAGGAACCAGTCATTTGTGAGCTTTTGGAAGCAGGAGGAGGCGGGATGATTGGTTCGACCGCAGGGCTGACCCTTGCGGGGGCCCTAGAGAATGATGTAGGTGCAAGGAGGAAAGGTGTTGCGAGGGCGAGAGGAAGCAGCAACGGCAGTGGTGGTGGGGAGAGGAGGGGGGGCGGAAGAGGGAGTGACAGCCGCGGCAGTGGGAGGGCAGCTGCGGAGGTTGAGCTCTGCCTGGAGGAGGAAGGCAGAGACATGGGAGAACAACCACTGGTCGGCAGGGGGCTCACCGTAGAGGGTGACATGAACACTGTACTCAGGAGTGAGGCCTGTGAGGAGGAGAGCACCGCATACATGATCGGAAATCTCAAACTTCTGGGCGGCAAGTTGGGAGGACAGTGCCTGAACACGAGCGATGTAGTCGGCCATGGTGGGGAAGTCGGCAAGGCGCTGGGAGGTGAGCTTGCGTAAGACAGCAATGACACTGATGGGAGTCTGTGATTGGAAGCGCTCAGTGAGATAGCCAAGGAGGTCCTTGGCGTAGCGGATGTGCAAGCACTGAGAGAGAAGAGTTGGCGGCAGGCAGGCAAGGATGATCTGACATGCGCGCGCGTTGGCAACATGCCAGTCAGCGAGGAGGTCAGAGTGAGATGGAGCAGAGGAAAAAGGCGTAGAGGTAGAGGGAGGAGAGGAGGCAGCAAGATGATCAGCAAGGCGCTTGCGGGCGCTCTCGAGGGACTCAGAAAGAACGCGAGCTAAGTCACGGGCAGCAGCATTGTCAGGGGCAGCAGTGGCAGTTGCTTGGGCCGTAGCCGCAATTCGTTCGGTTTCAGCAATGGTAGCACGGAGGCCAGCAGCATAGGGGTCAGAGGAGGAAGAGGTAGGTGCAGGGGGAGGGGTAGGAATGGCGCCAGAGCCACTCTACTGAGTGACAAACCAGAGGTTAAAGCCACTCACGAGGGTGCTAGACAACGTGCGCTCGAGACAGTTCAGCCAACTGGGGAAGTTGACTGCACTGCCAACTGAAGGACCAGCAGAGGGAGGGAGGGGGGGGCGAGAGAGGTCGCCATGAGGAGGAGGAAACAGCTGCAGAGCAGATGAGGGGAGAGGTATAAGAGGCGGAGGAATAATGGCGAGGTAGTCTACTGCTGCGCCGCTGAGGGGAGAAACAAGAGGAGGAGGGAGAACGGCGGAGTAGTCTGTTGCTGCGCCGCTGAGGGGAGAAATCAGAGGAGGAGAACGGCGGAGTAGTCTGCTGCTGCGCTACTGAGGGGAGAAATAAGAGGAGGAGAGAGAACGGCGGAGTAGTCTGCTGCTGCGCCGCTGAGGGGAGAAATAAGAAGAGGAGGGAGAACGGTGGAGTAGTCTGCTGCTGCTGCGGTGAGGGGAGAAATAAAAGGAAGAGGGATAATAGTGGAGGAGCTTGCAAGTGAGCAGTTGAGGGGAGGGCAGTGAGGAGGAGAAAAGGTGGGGAAGAAGAACAACTATTGGACACAATCAGCTACCAGCTGTAGCAGAGGAGGAGAAGAAAGAAGTGGAGGAATAGGTGAGATAGTGGGGGGGGACCTGAGGGAGAGAGGAAAGGAGGAGGAGGGTGAAGGGGCGGGGTCTTGATGAAGGGGAAGGGAGTGCAAAGAGGTGCGCCACGGGGGAAGATGGAGCGCGTGCTGCAGGACAGTGCAAGGCGCGCGCGGCGGCAGTAGCACTGAGCGCGCGCTCGACAGTGGGGTGCAGGGCACGCGGTTTGGGCGGGAACGCAGGCGCGCGACGGGTGGAAAAGCGAGGAGGAGGATGCGCGACGGGATGGGAAGGCGTTGGATGAGGATAAGGGGGGTTTGCGGGCAGTTCTACGAAAGGCGCGGGGCTGCTTAGGGTGGATCCGCGAGAGAGGGAGGAAGAAATTGCGAATGCTAGATTGAAAGAAGAAAACAAAAATCGACTAGCTAATTGATGGCGCGGAAGTGGCCGAGAGGCCTGAAATTTACCAAGTGATGTGATAGATAGATAAACGCCTAGGACATCGCTCTAGATACCATGTTAAGGTTGAGACTATGGCAGCCATGGCTAGCGAGAGAGAAGGTAGAGAAGTTGTTGCATTAGGAAAGTATCGAGGTACAGTTGAAGAAAGAGTTGTAAACTCTAATTGAACCTAAGGTGTGTTCAGTATGGGCTGCAAAATACAAAATGAACCTAAAACGAACCTGAAAGCGTAACATGCTCTAAGCATAGCGAAATAATAAAAGAACACCAAAATAATGACCAGAGTGAGCTCTAGCCTACTCCAACAGTCCGCCCCAGCCGGTGTCACGTGTTGCCCAGTAAGGATCTGCTTCTGCTACAGCTTCGGGAGGTAGAGCAGGCGTTTCCCATCCGCCCAGGGGATCAGTTGTTGTTGGAGCTTCGGAGGGAGGCGCTGGTGTTCCCCATCCATCTCCAACGACATTTGTGCCCCACTCGCTTCTGATGGTCCTCACGTCACCCCAGGGTTTTCCCCAGCCTCCAGTTTCGACTTGTGGTGTTGTTGTGCCTTCTTATAATGCACCGTTGTCTGCTTCTTGCTCTTCCATCATTGCAGGTCCGGTGTCACCAGGGGTGGAGGTCGAGGCAGTTGGAACGGCAAGTGTGCGGCAGAGACCGTTTGGTCCGGGACGTTCAAGGTCAATCTCTGCTGGATGGGACAGGTCAGGTCATGTCAGGTCAGGTCAGGTCAGGTCAGGTCAGGTCAGGTCAGGTCAGGTCAGATAGCTGCTGTGTCGTGCGACTGTCGGTCACTCACCCACCCGTCGGTCCTCTGGCACCACCGTCTAGGTCACCCGTCCTTCCCGCGTCTCAGTAGGATGGTGCGTCACCGTCTGGTCTCAGGTCTCCCAGAGTCACTCGCCCCGCTTCCCCGCTCTCCTGCACCACCGTGCACCCACTGCGTTGAGGGTCGGCAGCGCGTTTCCCCTCACTCCTCCTTGTTCCCCCCCCCCACCACGGCTCCCTTACAGGCCCTGCACTTGGACGTCTGGGGCCCCTCCTCGGTCCTTGGCCCACGTCAGGAGCGCTACTTCCTGATTGTGGTGGACAACTACTCCCGCTACACCACGGTTTACCCTTGCAACGGAAGGCCGATGTGCCTACCGTCCTCGAGCCGTGGCTACTAGCGAGGGGTGGCACCCAGGGTCTTCGTGGGCTCCGCCTGCACTCGGACCGTGGTGGTGAGTTTTCTTCCACTCGCCTGGAGATGTTCTGTCAGGGTCAGGGGATCATCCAGTCTAACACGCTACCAGCCTCGCCGCAGCAGAACGGGGTAGCCGAGCGACGCATCGGCCTGGTCATGGAGGTTGCCCGGACCTCCATGTGCCATGCCGGTGCCCCCCAACTCATGTGGCCTCAGGCAGTCCGCTACGCCGCGCACCAGCTGAACCTATGGCCTAGTGACGCACGGCCACGGGTGACGCCGGTCTCCCTTTGGACAGGTTCTTCGGGTGTAGCTGCTGACTACCGCGTCTAGGGTTCCCTAGCTGGCACTAACAAGTTGTCTGCGCGCATCCGTGCCTGCGTCTTTCTTGGCTTCCCACTTGACGCCTCCGGCTGGATGTTCTACGACCCGGTTACCCGCGAGTTTTTCGCTTCTCAGGACGTCACTTTCGACGAATCAGTCAGTTACTATAGGAGTGGCCCCCACCGAGGTTCTGAGGCCTTTTCCCCCCCGCTGTTCCTCACCCCTGAGCCCCCCCCCCCCCCCCCCCCCTTCGCGTCCTGCCCCGTTAAATGTGTCGCACGTCACTCAGCAAACGTCTCCCCAACAGCGTCCAGTCCCTGTCGTGTCTGGGGGTACGGGAGGTGCAACTGCGGAGGGTGGGGGGACTGGGGCTGCTGTACCTGGTGGTGCTGGCTCTGGGGGTGCAGGGGGTGTGAGAGTGGAGACCACTCTTGTGGAGGACACGGCTGTCTCGACTCGGCGGCCTCGCCCCGCCTCACCCCCTGGCGTCCCGTCTGTCCCACAGTTCCCTTCTCGTTTGTCTCTGCGGAGCCTGGGGATGTTCCTGCGGGAAGTACTGGAGACACCGGGGGTGTCGTTACTGGAGGTTCTGGTTCTGGGGGTACTAGCACTGCGACACCTCTTTTGTGCACTGTACGTTTCATGACCCGTGAGCAGCGTCTACTCCGGTTAAAGAGGGAGGAGCGGGAGTGGTTTGAGAGGGCGCAGCAGCAGCAGCAGCAGTGGGAGTAGTCTCAGTCGCAGCGTCAGGAGAGGGTAGAGGAGGAACCGCAGCCGCAGCAGAGGAGGATTCACGACTGCAGCAGCAGGTGCAGTTGCAGCCGTGGCAGGAGAGAGTAGAGGAGGAGTCACGTCAGCAGCAGCAGGGAGTCACGACAGCAGCAGCAGGGGCAGTTGCAGCCAAAGCAGGAGAGAGTAGAGGAAGAGTCACGGCCGCAGCAGGAGCGGGTAGCGCAGAAGTCCCGGCCGCAGCATCAGGTGCAGCTGCAGCCGCAGAAGGAGAGGGCAGAGGAGGAGCCACAGGAGCAGCAGCAGGGACATGTGCCGTCGCGGCAAATGCCAAAGGAGGCGGAGCAGCGGCGACTAGCGACCTGCCCAACCCAACACCTGCATGCTTTGTTCGTCTTCCCCTACCGTCCCCTCTTGTTCCCCCTGTCGAGTCCCTTTCCTCGTCCCCGTGGACTCGTTGTTCTCCCCTCAGTCGTGCTGTGTCTCCAGAGCCCCGTCGGTCCCGTTACCGTGCAGACGACCCGTTTCACCTTGTTCTCCGCTCTCGTGTTACACTTCCCCCGGTCCTTCCATATCCTCCAGAGTCGTCCCTCACTGTGTTTCACGACCCGTTGTCCGACTACCTCCGTGCCTCCCGTCCTGTCGTCTCCCGTGTTCTGTCCGCGTTGGTCACTCACCCGCTCGTGCCCCCCCGTTGTCTATCTCAGCTCTTGTTACCCCTGCCGCTGGCTTTGCCTCTTCCCACTGCCTTGACTACGCCGCTCACCTGGTGAGTGGCCCTGCTCGTTCTCCTTCCTCTGGGGGTGCTCCTGTATTTCCCTTGGAGGTCCTCGAGGACAAGCAGTTCGAGCATGGTTTCCTAGCGGCCGTTGTTCCTCATCTATGCACCATGCTGCTTGCCCCTAAGGGGGATCCAGACGCCCTTGACATCCCGATCACTCGCACTCACGCCGGGGCGGTCTCGGGGCCCTGGGCTTCGTACTGGATAGCAGCTGAGGAGGCATAGAGGGGATCTTATAGGTCCACAGACACCTACGTCGACGCCGTCCCACCGCCTGGGACGAACGTCCTCAGTGGCATGTGGCTCTACAAGGTGAAGCGCACGCCTGGATCACCACATGTGTTCAAGGCGCGCTATGTGGCGAGAGGCTTCAGTCAGCGCGAGGGGGTAGACTTCTTCTAGACCTTCGCTCCCACCCCGAAGATGACCATTCTTCGGGTGTTACTGCACATCGCAGCTCAGCGCGACTACGAGTTACACTCCTTGGACTTCTCCACATCGTTCCTTCAGGGGAGACTGCACGAGCAGATCTGGCTGCGTCGCCCGCCTGGCTTCACTGGCTCTTTCCCTCATGGGACCCAGTGGTAGCTACGTCGTCCGGTCTACGGACTGCGACAGGCTCCCCGTGAGTGGCACGACACACTTGTATCAGCCCCGCCTCTAGGAGCTCCTTGCACTTCTCCGTGCATATCTCTATGTTTCCCGGGATCGCCCTCCATCTCCTCTGGTAGATAGGGCTGCCTGTTGTGAGGGTTATCCTCAATTCTCTCGTGCGGAACTCCCCCAGCTCCTTCAGTGAGTATGCAAAGGTCTTTCTGTGCACTTTCAGGACTTCCTTGAGCGCCTCTGCCTCTGCCCCATGCCCTCTCCTGTCTCCCATTCCTTCTCATCTTATTCTTGTCCCTTGCTCCCCTGTTCCTTCTC